GTGTGTGGTGTGGCCTAATATGCAGCTGTATTGTCATGGGTGTGGCCTAATATGCTAATGAGTTTCTGCTGTTGGGTGTGGCCTATTATGCTAATGAGTTCCTGCTGGGCTTTTTCTACCAAAAAAGCCCTGCAAATACTGGTATCAAGGAAGGGAAGATCATCTCTGTTTCTGTTACCTCAATGTCCTTTTCCCTTAGGTGGAGAGTTGGAAGAGCAGGAGCTTGCCTCGGTGAAATTTGTGTCATCACCATATTCAGTGGACCTGTCCCAAACCTTGCGGTATTTTGTGCCTGGAACACACTTTCAACTGGTGGTGCGTGTTGCGTGTCTTACAGTGCCTATGGCCCATACCGTATGTGTGTGTCAGTTGTTTTGTTATACAGGACGTCACACAACAAGTCCTAGGTTGTAAGCTGTGCACTCATTCATTCACTTCATAGGACCGCAGAAGCTTTTCCTGGCATGGAAATAAAAATGCCTGCGAAAGCAGACAGATCTCTACATGCCAGGCTGCTTGTTGGCAGCATGAGTAGGGTCAGTTATTTTTTTTAAGAAAGAAAACCAATACAGATTTTCCAGTTAGATTACAGAAGTGGGAAATGCTGGAAAAATCAGCCGAAGTTTCGTCTGCGAAAACACTTAGACTTCTGAGGTGATGAGAGAAGTGTGTTGTGGAGATCAGGAAGCTAAGCGCTTCTGAGGAAAGAGGGCAGCAAAGGGGTCCATCCACTGAGAGCGAGCGCCCTGTCTTGGGTCACCTGTCATGAGACCTGGCTTGGTCGGAGGCAGTAGAGGCGTCTCTGATTCCCCCCCCCCCAAAAAAAAACTCTGGGTGAAATGTGTCCCAGAATCACCAGTAACATTGGCACAAAGGCCTCTGTGGTTCACAACCCCTTCCCTATGTGCCAGTATGGTTGCCAACCTCCAGGTGGTGGCTGGATATCTCCTACAATTAGAAGTGATTTCCAGATGACAGAGATCAGTTCACCTGAAGAAAACGGCTGCTTTGAGAGGTGGACTCTGTGGCATTATACCCCATTGAAGCCCCTCCCCAGAATCCGCCCTCCTTAGGCTCCACCCCCCCAAATCTCCAAAGGCTTCCAACCCAGAGCTGCTTCCAGATGTGTACAGGGCTCCCTTAGGTAACATTCCCCAAAGGAACCTAAAAGCTAGAGCAAGCGAATCCCTGTTGTGCACAATGCTCCCTCTAAAGCTGTGGAATCTTGTGAGAAAAAAATTTACTTTGTGAGGTACCGGCATTAAAGTTGTGAGCGAGCGATTTGGCTACTGCATAAATTAGTTTGCTCTGGAGCCCTCCTTCCTGAGCTAAGGCAAAAATATGTGAGCTGGAGGCTAAAAAACTGTGCGCTAGCTCGCACTAACTCAGCTTAGAGGGAACACTGGTTGTGCGTAATAAGGCCTTTCCGTGTCCTTTTGCTCTCTGAAATCGGCATGTGCACATTCGTATATTATCTCTTGTACTGACCTATTTGTAGAAACTGTTGTGTGCTCCATTTGTAGATACGCAGCTATGTGTCGTAAATCTCTGTTCCTCCCTGCATCCACAGGCTACAGTTTCACTACCAGATGGTTCACCCGTTCCCCGCCTTCCAGTTCACTTCTCCACCCAAATAGAGGGCTCGTCCCCACAGAACACCCAAGTGAATACCGACAATCGTGGAATTGTGACGCATGCAATCACCACTCCTGCTACAGCTAAAGCCATCACTTTCATGGTAGTATGCACTTCACCCACGCTGGAGGGGGGAGTTAGAAGGGAGGGAGTTAGAAATTAAGAAGGAGGGAGAGTGGGAAATCAGAGAAGAGAAGAAAGAAGTCCTTGAAGCTGGGATGCTCCCTGGACATAGCCAGCATGTGATTGTTTTATGTTTCTTTTCCTGAGGACCATAGCCTGTTTTCCACTGTTTTATGTTTCTCTTCCCTTGTTCAGAAAACCTTAGTAGGTTTGTTGGGAGATAAGGTGAATGATTATTTGTTAATAAAATCTAAGTCCAGTCGCACTTTAAGGACCAACAGAATTTTCCAGGCTACGCACTTTCATGACTCAAACCTCACTTTGTCAGATACAAATAAAAATAAAGATGCATCGGCCATAAACACTGAAGATCCATAAGCACTGGATGTTTATGGTTTATTTTTACCAATATATTTGCTTCCCACCACACAAGATGAACCAGGGGGACTGCGGTGGCGCAGGCGGTAAAACGCCTGCTTTAGTAACATCACTCGGGCAGCCACTATGGCTGTTCGAGCACCACCGCGGTCGAGGTGAGCTCTCGACCTTTATCCCAGCTCCCGCCTACCCAGCGGTTCGAAAGTAATTAGTTGCAAGTAGATAAATGGGTACCCACCCTTAGTAGGGTGGGGGGCACCCTGCCTGAGGTCGGATGGTTGGCGGCGGCGGCGATGGCGGCGGACGAGATATCGGCTCTGAGATCGGAGAGATCGGAGATCGGAAGTGGCGTGGCGAGATGGCGGCGGTGAGATGGCGGCGGCAGCAAGTTACAGCGATCGACATGGCGATCCCTGGTGGCCAGGAGAGAGGAAAACACCCAGGCGGCTGCTGAGACGGGGCACAATGATGACGTCAGACGCTGGCGCAGCGGAGCCAGAAGGACGTGGCTGGGACCAGCAGAAGACGCGAGTCGTGCACCCCATAGGAAGAACTATCACGAACAAGAATGCCAAGCCGAATGAAGTACCGAGTGCCGAAGCCGAGGAACGAACATCCCAACCACCACCACAAGGGTGCTGATAGGTAACCCTACCCTATACAACTCTGTGGCCCTAGTTAAGGAAAAACTTGTGTGATTAGCACCAATTGTAAGCCGCTCTGAGACCCTCTGTGAAAAGAGGATTCGAGCGGGATATAAAGTTGAAGGTTAAATAAATAAATAAAAATTAAATAAATAGAGGGGGCAGCCAGTCTAGAAACAGACTGTTCTAGCCCCTCATCCTCTAACAGAGCTCAGCACTCTTATTAAACCACAATTCCCGGGTTCCTGTGTGGCAAACTGCTATGACCCTTTAATTGCTGTGTAGGTAGCTTGAGGTGGATAGCGTTGTTGGTCTTCAGTTGAAGATCGGCATTCAAGTGCAGTAGGACCTTAGAGACCAACAAGATTTCCAGGGAGCCATCGACTCTAATTTGGGGGAACCAGGTTTGATTCCCCACTCCTCCACACGCAGCTTGTCAGTGACAAGTTCTTTCAGAGCTGTTCTCTCAAGAGCAGTTCTCTGAGAGCTCTCTCAGCCCCACCTTCCTCACAGGGTGTCTGTTGTGGGGAGGGGAAGGGAAAGGAGATTGTAAGTCGTTCTGAGACTTCGAGTGAAGGGCGGGGTATAAATCCAGCTCTTCTTCTTTAACTCTGGACAGCTTATGACTTGGAACTCCTGTTGGTCTCTAAGGTGCTATTGGACTCAAGCCTAACTATTGCATTAAAGGTTACAGATCTGCTCGGTGAACTGTGCATATCTTTGTTGCCCCTCGTAGATAACGGCAGGTGCAGAGTCTCCCGCCGAAGTCACTCATACCATCAAAGCCATGAACTCCCCAGGAGGCAGTTACTTGATCGTTCTCAGGCAGAGTCACCAGGACTTGAACCCAGGAGACACCCTCATGCTGGGACTGAAGCACATGGGACCCGACGACTTCTCCAACTTTTATTACATGGTAAATTCTTGCTGCGTGGTGGTAGGCCTCACCATGTCTGGGATGAATGAAAGTCGCCAGCAGAGCTTGCCGACTGTTTTGATTTCTTGCTTGCTCCTGAAGTATGTCATTAACCTACATACCTTCAGGACCATCCCTCTCTTATGCCCCAAGAAGAGCATTATGCTTGGGAAGGAAGAACCTCCTGGTGGTCCCTGGCCTGGGAGAGATCCGGCTGTTCTCAACCAGGGCTTTTTTCGGCCCTGGCCCCCACCTGGTGGAACTCTCTGCCTGAGACCATCCGTGCCCTGCAGGATTTGTTACCTTTCCGCGGGGCATGTAAGGCAGAGACAGGGGTCATTTCGTAGAAAAAGAGGTGCAGGAGCTCATTAGCATAAATCATTAGCATAACTCATTAGCATGACTTATTTGCATATGCCACACCCCCTGACATCACCAGAAGTGTGTCAGAAGGCTCCACTGGACTGTTTTGGATTACTAGCTATTGGGGGAGGGGGGGAATGTGCAGATCTGTCCTCGCAGAGGAGGGAGAGCTTGTACCTGAACAAAACTTGGTCTTAAAGGTGCCACTGGACTTTTTTGGACCGGGGGGGCGGGGGGGGCTCTGCAGCTTACCTGGCTGCTTCTTGCTCTGACTGAGGGCTGCTGGGAGCAGGGGGTGGGGCTTGTTGCATGTGCCCACCCCCTGGGCTCTTTACTGCCGGAGCTCCGCTCCTGTGCGCTCCTGCAGGAAATGACCCCTGGGCAGAGATATGCCAGGCATTTGGTTGAGGACAGTGACAGTACAGCATGTAGTCCGGCACTCTCATGCCCTCTATTCTCCTCAGCCGCTATCTCGGAGGCCTGTGAAAATTTTTCCCCACCATCTTGGACCAGCCAGATTAGCTGATGTCTTATTAGAACAGTATGTTTGATATATTTATTATTGTTTTTAACTTTTGATTATTTATCATATGTTCTCTCCTGCTGTAAGCTGCCCTGAGCCTTCCTCGTAAGGAAGGGCAGCCTAAAAACCTAATTGAATAAATAATTAAAATGAATTAAGCCACAAGTAGGAGTGATGCTCTATTGCTGGAAGAGGGGATCTCAACCCGGTTAGTCCACCCACCAGCTTTGCAGACAGGGCCACGAAAATGAGCTGAGTGTTATGGCAGCCAGTGCAGGGAGGAACCGCCTGGAACTGTTTGTTCCTCAGGGGGTGGAATGGGAAATGCCATCAAGTCACAGCCGACTTATGGCGACGCTGTTGAGTTTTCCTGGCAAGAGACATTCAAGGGTGGTTTGCCGTTGCCTGCCTCTGCAGAGCCTTCCTAGACTTCCTTGGTGGTCTCCCATCCAAGGACAATCCAGGGCCAATCTTGCTTAGCTTCTGAGATTGGGCCAGCCTGGGCTATCCATATTTGGGCGGTCTCCTGTTCAAGTACTCACAGGAGCGGCACTTGCTTAGTTTCTGAGATCTGACAAGATGAGGCCAGTCAGGTCAGGGTGTTCCTCGGGAAGGCTCTCTTAATTTTTCTCCTCAGATCACCGACAGAGCCAGTGATACCAGTAGAGACCCGCCACCATGGGTTTTGAAAACAATATCTCATGCAGTCACTCCTGGTCTGTACCATATTGAGTTGCAAGTGGGAGGTCACGTAATGGCATGTTCTTTCCCTCCCATTAAAAAAATAAAATCCTCAATCCACGTGAAAACTGTTCTGTCAGGGTCATGGTTTTAGCCTGGGCTTCTGCCTGTTGTGCAGATTTCCCATCCGAGGGTCACCCAGTGAGCTTCAAGGGGAGTCTATTATGTGAGGTGAGGGAAGCCTGCAAACATGCCACCCCCCCCCACTTTGCAGTCTGAAGTGGCACTGTCTAGGCCGGACTGCACCACGTTCTTCACGACTGTTGTGACGTGTCTCTTTGCTTCCAGCTTTTGAACAAAGGAGATATTGTCTTGGCCAGCAGCGTGACTCGTGGCTCCTATACTGTCGTCCCCATCCGCATCACAGCCAAGCTGATGCCGGCGTTTCGGTTTGTGGCCTTTTACCGCCTGAGGGACAAAGTTGTGGCGAACTCCATCTGGGTGGATGTTGTTGACACCTGCGAAGGGAAGGTGAGCAAAATCTTTATCCTACCTTTCTCCGGGGAGTATGTGTGCTTCTCCTCTCCTCTCCATTATCCTGATAACGTCCCTCTGAGGGACGTTAGGCTGAGAGAGAGTGACTGGGCCATGGTTACCCAGTAAGCTTCACAACCAAGTCAAGACTTGAAGCTGGGTCTCTCCAGTTGCATTGTAGCACTCTACCCACTACACCACATGGGCGGTTGAGCGCACTAAGGCAGGGGTGTCTAATTTATGGCCCACAAGCCAGAACTGGCCCATCCAGGGTTCTTATCTGGCCCATGAGCAACTGATTGCCTTTATTGCCAGATGACAGAGGCTGTACGTTAGGTCCCTGTATACTGTCCCAGAGCCATCATGGTACAGTGGTTAAGAGCGGCAGACTCTAATCTGGGAGAATCTTGTTCTCTCAAGAGCAGTTTTCGAAAGAGCTCTCTCAGCCCCACCTGCCTCACAGGGTGTCTGTTGTGGAGAGGGGAGGGGGAGGGGAAGGAGATTATAAGCCTCTCTGAGGCTCCTTTGGGTACTGAAGGGTGGGTAGAAATCCAATCCTACTCAGCCCTACCCACCTTCTGGAGTAGATATAAATTTACTGCCTACCATTTTCTTCTCACCTTGACACAGAGAGTACTCCATCTTTCTGTGTTTATACCTCTGAGGATGCCCGTCACAGTTACTGGCGAAATGTCAGGTTCTACAATGCCAAGACCACGGCCACACATCCTGGAAAATCTACAGCAACTAAAGTCTTTTGGCCCAGAAACATTTGCCACATCTTGTGGCAATGAAGTCCATATGTTAATGACATGTTGTTGTGTGAAGGAAAATGTGTGTGTGTGTTAAGTGTCGTCATCTCACTTCCAACTGTAGGTGACCCTATGAATTAATGACCTCCAAAAAGCCGTATTGTTAACAGCCTTGCTCAGGTTTTGCAACCTGGGGGCCGTGGCTTCCTTTATGGAGTCAATCCACCTCATGTTGGGTTTTCCTTTTTTCATGCTGCCTTCCATTTTCCCTAGCATTGTTGTAATTTCCTGTGAGTCTTGTCTTCTCACAACATGACCGAAGGACGATAGCCTCGGTTTAGTCATTTTAGTTTCTAGTGAGGAGAATTCTGGCTTGATTTGATCTGGCAGAAAGGCAGGATACAAATTTGGACATAAATAAATAGAACCCACTTATTTGTGTTTTTTGGTGATCAGTGGTATCTGTAAAACTCTCTTCCAATGTCACATTTCAAAAGAACCATTTTTTTTCCTGTCAGCTTTCTTCATTGTCCAACTTTCGCATCCATACAGTAATGGGGAATACCATTGTGGGAATTATCTGGATTTCGCTCCCTCGGGTCTTCCTCTTTTCCTGCTGCTTCCAACTATTCCTAGAATCATTGTCTTTTTGAGTGAGTCTTGTCTGCTCATGAGGTGACCCAAGTACGATGGCCTCAGTTTAGTCATTTTAGCTTCTAGTGAGGAGAGTTTGGGCTTGATTTGATGTAGAACCCACTTATTTGTTTTTTAGGCAGTCTATGGTACCCAGACTGACAAGGAACTTCACTGAATGATCCTGAAGCAGAAAAAAATACAACTTGAGAGAAACAAATTGCCAGGAAGGAAGCTTCTTTCCTTTCTGGGAGCAACACTTGTGGTGCTCCTGACTGTGGAGGGAGAAACAAAGGCAGTCAGTGGAAAACAGGAACAGGGAAGTGGTGGGCAGGCAAAAAGGGAGTGAAGTGTATATGAATAATCAGGGATGGGTAGAATTTTAAAGACACTTTTCTTGTCACAATGTCCTCCATCTACAGCTGCGTCTCAGCATATCACAAAACCCCGGTCAGCTGCGGCCTCAGCAGCACGTGGAACTCACCATCGCCACCGACATGAAATCTTCCGTCTCACTTGCTGCCGTGGACACGGCCGTCTATGCCCTCAGTGGGAAGAATCGCCTCACTCAGGGCAAGGTACCGTCATATTTCTCCCACCCCTCTTCCGTGCCGTCTCATTTCCAGAGACCGTGAGGTGGCCCCCAGAAACACAAACGTCCTTCTCAACATTGTTGCCGGTTGTGTGGCTTTCTGCCACTGGCTTCTTGTAACCCATATGATTATATGTATATTTAAAAAAAATACCTACCCTGTCTTTCAGCCAGTGGCAGTGCATATCTCTGGGGTAACTTACAGTATCCATTAAACACTCATGATGAAACCGGTTAACTTGATGACTGGATATTTTCAGAAGTCTCAAGGACCATTGGGGGGAGGGGTCTGTGCAAGGGTTCCTTGTTTCTCTTTCCCCACTCCCAGCAGCCATTTCCAACCCTGAACGTTTATTCCTAGGATCACCAAACCTGTTTGGAGTAATAATCCTGTCAGTCGGGAGGCTGCAGTGGGGCAGAGAAAGGAAGCAAAACTGTGGGATCCTAGCCCTCATTTTCAAGATTCACTTCTCTGTGCACATTCTGCCACCCAACTACATGTATCTTTCCATTGTTTCTTATCCACCCTCCCATAAATTACCCACAACTCTTTTTCTTTCTTTCTTGGAACCAGGTCTTCCAGGCCATGGGAAGTTATGATCTGGGCTGCACAGCTGGCAGTGGGGAAAACACCCTCGGCGTCTTCACCGATGCTGGACTCTCCCTCCGGGCAGGCACCCTGACCAGCCCGCTCCGAAAAGGTGAACGGCCAGGGTCATAAGAACATAAGAGACGCCAATGTTGGATCAGGCCAAAGGCCCATCCAGTCCAACACTCTGTGTCACACAGTGGCCAGAAATACCAGGTGCCCTCAGGAGGTCCACCAGTGGGGCCAGGACATTAGAAGCCCTCCCACTGTTGCCCCCCCCAAGCACCAAGATGACAGAGCAACACTTGCCCCAGAGCCCCTATCTATGCCTTGTGGCTAATAGCCACTGATGGACCTCTGCTCCATGTGCTTATCTAATTCCCTTTTGAAGCCGTCCATGCTTGTAGCCGCCACCACTTCCTGTGGCAGTGAATTCCAAGTGTTAATCACTCTTTGGGTGAAGAAGTACTTCCTTTTATCCGTTCTAACCCGACCGCTCAGCAATTTCATGGAGTGCCCACGAGTTCTTGTATTGTGAGAAAGGGAGAAAAGTACCTCTTTCTCTACCTGCTCTTTCCCATGCATAATCTTATAAACCTCGATCATGTCACCCCTCAGTCGTCGTTTCTCCAAGCTAAAGAGCCCTAAGCGCCTTAACCTTTCCTCATAGGGAAAGTGTTCCAACCCCTTTATCATTCAAGTTGATAAAGAAAAGGGTGCAGCTGGGGAGTGTGAGCCGTGGACTATTCTTGGCTACAGCCTGCATTTTGTTCTCACTATCCCACCTTGTTCTTCTGGCTCCCGCAGCCCATGGATGTAATGTGGATGTTTCCCGGAAGAAGCGTTCGTTGCAGTTGCAGACTCAACTCCAGGAGAGGCGTAAGTGGTGGAAGGGGAAGGGGAAAGGAGGAGGATTGGTGGTCCCATGGAAATATCACAGAATCACAGAATGACATAGTTGGAAGGGGCCCTACAGGCCATCTAGTCCAACCCCCTGCTCAATGCAGGATCAGCCTAGAGCATCCCTGACAAGTGTTTGTCCAGACACTGCTTAAAGACTGCCAGTGGGGGGGGGAGCTCACTGCCTCCCTAGGCAGCTGATTCCACTGTTGCACAACTCTTACTGTAAAGACGTTTTTCCTAAGATCCAGCCGGTACCTTCCCGCCCTTAATTTAAACCCATTATTGCGAGTCCTATCCTCTGCTGCCAAGAGGAACAGCTCCCTGCCCTCCTCTAAGTGACAGCCCTTCAAATACTTCGAGAGAGCAATCCTGTCCACCCTCAACCTCCTCTTCTCCATCCCCAAGTCCCTAAGCCTTTCCTCACAGGGCTTGGTCTCCAGGCCCCCTATCATCCTCGTCGCTCTCCTCTGTACCCACTCCATTCTGTGCCCCAGAGAGCCAACATGATGTAGTGGTTCAGGTGTTGTACTAGTATCTGGGACACACAGGTTCTAATCCCCGCTCTCCCGTAGAGCTTGCAGTGTGACCTTGGGCCAGTCACACTCTCTGAGCCTTCACAGTAGAACAGATTTAGAGTCCGGTGGCACCTTTAAGGCCAACAAAGGTTTATTCAAGGTATGAGCTTTCATGTGCATGCACACTTTATCAAATACACATGCACATGAAAGCTCATACCATGAATAAACCTTTGTTGGTTTTAAAGGTTCCACTGGACTCTAAATTTGTTCTATTTCTTCAGACCAACACGGCTGACCAACTGGATCTACTTCACAGGGTTGTTGTAAGCTGCTTTGGGTCCCCATTAAGGGAGAACGGCAGGCTATAAATAAAGTAAATAAAATTGAAGAAGAAGAGAAGAGATTGGATTTATACCCTGCCCTTCACTACCCAAGGGAGTCTCAGAGCGGCTTACGATCTCCTTTCCCTTCCCCTCCCCACAACAGGCACCCTGTGAGGTAGGTGGGGCTGAGAGAGCTCTGACAGAAACTGCTCTTTTTCAAGAACAGCTATGCCAGAACTATGGCTTGCCCAAGGTCATCCAGCAGGTGCAAGTGGAGGAGTGAGGAATCAAACCCGGTTCTCCCAGGTTAGAGTCCTCCCACTTAACCACTACACCAAACTGAGTCCACCATGCATACAAGCATACCAGGCTGCCCTTCTTACACTCTACGTTCCTGACCAGGAATTAAGATCACAGGGCAAAGAAGCTCATTTGTTGGGCACACGAGGCAAGGCCTTTTCAGTGGCAGCCCCCTGATTATGGAACAGCCTCCCCAGGAAGGTGTGCCTGGCCCCCTGACTGTCGATCTTCAGGAGGCAGCTGAAGAAAACTTTATTTAGGAATGCATTTAACTAATTTAGTTTTTATTTATTGGCAGTCCTCATTGAGATCTGAAATTGTGATCTTTGAAGTGGTGTTTTTTAAATATAATTGTTTCATTTACACTGTTAGCTGCCTTGAGTTCCTCAAGGTAGAAAGGTGGCTGGAAAATGTTTTAAATAAGTAAGGATGAGTATATGGTCAATGTTTTTCTCTCTTTCTGTTTTCCAGCTGAAAGAAGGTTGGGAAAGTTGGGCTGAACTTAATGGGAGGGGGCCTTGGTTGAGTGGTAGAGGCTCTGCTTTGCATGCAAATGGTCCCGGGTTCGATCCCTGGCATCCCAGGTTGAAGGATGAGGCAGTGGGTGATGTGAAAGACCTCTGCCTGAGACCCTGGAGAGCCACCATCAGTCTAAGGAACATAAGAACATAAGAGAAGCCAATGTTGGATCAGGCCAATGGCCCATCGAGTCCAACACTCTGTGTCACACAGTGGCCAAAACCCAGGAGCCATCAGGAGGTCCACCAGTGGGGCCAGAACTCCAGAAGCCCTCCCACTGTGGCCCCCCAAGTGAAGGCTTGAGGGTTCAAATGAACGACATGACACACAGATCTGCTGAAGCTCTCTCATCCGGACTGGCTCAGTAGCGTTTTATTAAGGCTTTTTCCTTTCCCTCCCCCTTGCCCTGTATATGAAAAAGCTACAAGCAAAGGCTCTAAACTAGAATAACAGGATGTTCTCTGCCCATGGCTCACCTTATCTTTACCCGACTCTAGCCAAGTTTCTTCTATCAGTGGACTCAGCAGACCTTGTGCGCTACTGCCCAATCTCCCTGTGGGAACATAGAACTCTGGGCATGCCTCCAGAGGTTCGCCGTCCCCACACCCAAGCACCAAGAATAGAGAGCATCACTGCCCCAGGCAGAGCGTTCCCTCTATACTTTGTGGCTGAGAGCCACTGATGGACCTCTGCCCCATGTGGTTATCCAGACCCCTCTTGAAGCTGTCTATGCTTGGAGCCACTACCACTTCCTGCATCAGTGAATTCCATGTGTTGATTACTCTTTGGGTGAAGAAGGACTTTGATTTATCTGTTCTAAGCGTGCGGCTGATTAATTTCATTGAGTGCCTTGAAGGTCTTGTATTGTGAGAAAGGGAGAAAAGTACTTCATTCTCTGCCTTCTCTATCCCATGCCTGATTTTGTAATCCTCTATCAAATCACCCCTCAGTCATTGTTTCTCCAAGCTAAAGAGCCTTAACCTATTTAACCTTTCTTTATAGGGAAGATGTTTCATCCCCTTAACCATTTTAGTTGCCCTTTTTTTTTTGCACTTTTTCCAATGCTATATAATGTCTTTTTTTGAGGTGTGGTGACCAGAACTGTACACAGTACTCCAAATGAGGTCGCACCATTGATTTATACAGGGGCATTATGATCCTGGCTGATCTGTTTTCAGTTCTCTTCCTAATGATCCCCAGCACAGGTTTTTTAATTGCAATCATACACTGAGTCAACATGTTCAGTGAGTTATCTACCAGGACTCCAAGATCTCCCTCCTGATCAATTGCCGCCAGTTTGACCCCATCAATGTGTATTTATAGGAAGATAGATCAAGATAGAACTCACTGGAGAAGACCCTGATGCTGGGAAAAATTGAAGGTCAAAGAAGACGGGGACGGAAAAGGATGAGGTGGTTAGACAGTGTCATAGATGCAACGAACATGAAATTGAGCCAACTTCAGAGGACGGTGGAAGACAGGAGGGCCTGGCAGGAGCTGGTCCATGGGGTCGCGAAGAGTCGGACTCGACTGTGCGACTGAACAACAACAACAAAGATCAAGATGGGTAGCCGTGTTAGCAGTAGAAAAGAGTAACTTGTTTTATGCATTGGCATGTGCCCCATTTGTGAGCCGCCCTGAGCCCGTTCGCGGGGAGGGCGGGCTATAAATTAAAATAATAAATAAATATAGTATCACCTTCAAGACTAACAAAAATTGTGGCAGGGGAGGAGCTTTCTTGAGTCACTGCTCACTTCTTTGAAGTTAAGGGTTGTAAGAGAAGGGTGCAGCCAGGGAGTGTGACCTCTGGACAGTTCCTGGCTACAGCGTCAAAGTGAGCAGTGACTCATGAAAGCTCATTGCCTGCCACAATATTTGTTAGTCTTTAAGGTGCTACTGGAATCTTGCTCTTTTCTATTTATAGTTGCGATTTTTGGCTCCAATGTGCATTACTTTGCACTTGCCCACTGACCTCGATGGTCCAAGAAGCCGCTTCATGTGCAACTAGTGTCCTCCACAAATGTGTGTAAGAACATAAGAAGAGCCCTGCTGGGTCAGACCAGTGGTCCGTCTAGTCCACCATCCTGTCCCACACAATTTCCAACAACAGGGCAGAAGGGGGAGCATGAAGCACGGGCTGTCTTTCTTCTGGTCTGCCTTTCTCTCGATTCACATACATTCCCATTTTATCCTCCCCCCCCGCCCCCGTTCCTTCCCCTTCCCAGTTAAGAAGTATTCAGACCCCGATGATCAGCGATGCTGTCAGGATGGGATGGTGAGGATTCTCATGCCCTTAACGTGTGATCAGCGGGCACAGCGGGTCCAGGGCCAATGTGGCATCATTTTCCTGGAGTGCTGCCAACATGCGACTCAGCTGCGACGCAGGCACTGGGGATCCAATAGTCTTGCACGGAGTGAGTAGAGAGTCCGGGACTAGCTTTTTATTCCTGCTCTGAGTGTGATAAGAGAAGTAGGACATCTGTGGTTGAAGGCGTCACCCATGTTCTGGATGGGGCTGCACGCCCTTTGGAGGAACGGGTCTGTAGTCTGGGGGTGCTGTTGGACCTAATGCTGGATAAACAGGTGGCAATTGTGGCCAGGGGTGCCTTTTACCAGCTACGACTGCCTAGCCAAAGAGAGATCACGGGATAAGTGAGTAGAAAATAGTCACTGGCAACCGTGATATATTTATGAATATCACTCTTTTATAGATTTTCAAAATCTATTAATACTAATACATTTCTGTACATTCGTACAAGAATAAACATCAAAAAATGATTCCACAATGTTGACAAGCGCAGTCCGATAATCTAAGGTTCTTCCAAACAGTAAATCTTCTTTGTGTCTTTCTTGTACTACTGTTGGATTGTAGACAAATAGCATAAAGGTCACGAATCCGCAGACAGGCTTGATCCAACACCTGTTTCATAAGGCTTCTTCAGAGCAGAATACATGTGAACTTAGTGAATCCTTTTCTTCACCTCTGCATGCTGTCTCTCTGCATAACGCTCACACTCAGTGAAATCTTCTCTTATTCAGCTTCCTCTCTGGATGCTTTCTCTCAAAGACAAGCATTATGAAACAGGTGTTTGAGCAAGCCTGTCTGTGGATTCGTGCCCTTTGTGCTATTTGTCTACAATCCAATACTAGTACAAAAAAGACACAAAGACGATATACTGTTTGTAAGAACTTTGGATTATCAGACTGTGGCTGTCAACATTGTGGAATTATGTTTTGATGTTTTCCAAGGCGGCTAACAGATTAAAACATGCAGGGCTATTTTGGGGCAGGAACGCACAGGAACGGAGTTCCGGCTGGCTCCTGAGTTGGCCACGAAAATCACATTTTAAAACCAACCAAAACCATACCAACAGATTATGAAAGCAATTAAAAAATTAATGTCAGAGTGGAGCAGTGGATAGAGGGTTGGGCTTGGACCAGGGATACCCCTTCAGCCGTGAAAGACTTTGGGCCAGTCACTATCTGCCAACCTCCCCGGCCTCACAGGATTGTTGTGAGTTTAAAGTGCAGGGGGAGGCTGCTCTGAGGACGAGTGGGATAAAAATGTAATAAAATAAAATGCATAGAAATGCACTAAAACTCATCTGGGGGGGGAGCAGGGGTCACTCTCAACCTGGGGTCTCTTCTCTTCCTGTAGCACATGGCCAAGAAGAAGAGGAGGAGGAGGATTTCTTTGGTGAGGATATTGTTCATGTTCGGAGCGTCTTTCCTGAGAGCTGGCTTTGGAACTGGCGTTGGAAAACACATGAGGTGGACGGGACCAAAAAGTGAGTCATTTTGTGTCATTTTTGCAATGGTGCCTTCCTCTGTTTCACAGTTGCCAACCTCCAAGTTGGACAGCTTCAAAAGGGAATTAGATAAGCATATGGAGCAGAGGTCCATCAGTGGCTATTAGCCACAAGGCATAAATAGGGGCTCTGGGGCAAGTGATGCTCTGTCTTCTTGGTGCTTGGGGGGGGGTCAACAGTGGGAGGGCTTCTATTGTCCTGGCCCCACTGGTGGACCTCCTGATGGTACCTGGTATTTCTGGCCACTGTGTGACACAGAGTGTTGGACTGGATGGGCCTTTGGCCTGATCCAACATTGGCTTCTCTTATGTTCTTATGTTCAAGTAGGAACAAACACACAGGGAACACGGCAAGGTCAGACAAACATAAAGAAACACCGTGCTAGAACAAAACACACTCTACTAATATGCACTTGTGTCTTCATATATTGATTTAAATACAATAGAGACTGTAGTATATCTTATACACATACATTATAGTACAAAAACCTAAAGTACATTATATATCTACCAATAGAAAAGTCCACAGCTACAGAGACCTATTCCAATGCTGTAGACTATCTTGCTCCTGATAAGAGACTGATGATGAGAGATGCAGCAGGCTGTCTACAGCACCGGAATAGGTCTCTGTAGCTGTGGACTTTTCTATTAGTAGTTATATAGTGGACTTTAGGTTTTTGTACTATAAATGAATGTGTATAAAATATACTGGGTCTCTGCCCAATGTTGGAAACAAGAGAAAATACCTGAAATTGGGCAATGGATACAGAAATTACTTTTTATGGCAGAAATGGACAAATTGATGAGAAAACTTAATAACAAACCTGCAGAAGAATTTTTTGAGGACTGGAAAGACTTTAAAGAGTATTTGGAAAAATACTGGGATGTAAGAGACAATTTGCTTTGCTTTGAGAACTATTGAGATAATAAGAAAATTTAAATGTTTAATAATTAGAAAATACGTTGCCGGTAGAATTCTATATAACGGGAAGAAGAATTAGGGGGAGGTTAAGTATGAGCTGGAGGTTGGAGCACTGTGGGAAGCCAAAGAGGGGAGGGGGAAAGAGGGAAATGGATATAAAACAAGTATTAATTTGTATTCTGTGTGATCATGAATTATATCCTAATAAATTTGTTTACCAAAAAAAAGATATACTGGGTCTCTATTGTATTTAAATCAATATATGAAGATACAAGCGCATAGAGTGTGTTTTGATCTAACACAATGTTTCTAACCTCCAAGTAGGACCTGGAGATCTTTCAGAGACCCAGAACTACACTGGATCTCCAGCCAACAGAGATCAGTTCCCCTGGAGGAAATGGCTCCTTTGGAGGGCGGACTGTACAGCATTATACCCCACTGAGCTCCCTTCCCACAAACTGCTTTCCCCAGGCTTCCCCACCAAAACCCCAGGGAAACTGCTTTTACCTTGTTTTATATGGGCTTGCCCCTTGTAAGCCACTCTGAGCCCGCTTTGCGGGGAGGGCGGGGTAAAAATCCCAATCAATCAATCAATCAATCAATCAATAAACCCTTGGTTGGCAGAAATTATCACCGGATACCAGAACCTGGGGGCAAACTTAGAACAGGAGTGTGAAGCCAGAATCATGAGTCGCTGAGCCCAGGGCCTAAAGGGTAACTCCTACCCTCAGGGAAGCAGAGAGGGAAGCAGTAGAATAAGTTCATGAAAAGACACTAGAAAGGCACAGTGACAGTCACGAGTCCTCTCTGCAGTGGTAAACTTCTTTCGGAGTTGTTCTTTTAAAAAGCCAAAACAGAGCTCCTCCCTGTATGTAGAAAAGTAGCCTGTCAGGCAGAAATCTTCAAGCCTAGCTGTCCTAGCCTTTTCTGTCCTATGCAGAATTACTCCAGTCTAAACCTATTGATTTCGGTGGGCTCAGATTGGAGTAACTCTGCATAGGATTGCCCTGTGTGGGTAGGAATCTTTTTTCCATGAGCAGACATTGTCATGTGAACCCCACCCACTCACCTCCAGTCTGACGTAGGGTTGCCAGTCTCCAGGTGGGACCTGGGGATCCCCAGAATTACAGCTCATCTCCAGCCTACAGGGGTCAGTTTCCCTGGAGAAAATGGCTGCTTTGGAGGGTGGACTCTATCCATAGCTTTGTACCCAACCAAGGTCCCTGTCCTCCCCAGACTCCACCTCCAAATCTCCAGGAGTTTCCCAAGCTGGATCTGGCAACTCCATCCTCCTATCCCCCCCTACCCCCCCGGGGGGGGGGGGGGGGGCTAGCAACCTTAGTCTGAAGTGGAACTGACAACAAAGGATTAGCATCTTGGTGAGAACCAGGCCAAGGGCTCAGACGTTGACCTGCAGACCGGAATGTCGGTAGCTTGACAGTTCAACACCCTAGTGCCGCTTGACAGAGTGAACTCCCGTCTCTGGCCCCATCTCCTGCCAACCTAGCAGTTTGAAAGCAAGAAATTGCAAGTAGATAAATAGGTACCGGTTTGGTGGAAAAGTAACAGCATTCTGTGCACCTCGGCGTCTAGTCATGCTGGCCACATGACCATGGAGAAGTCTTCAGATAGCACTGGCTCTTCAGCTTGGAAACGGAGATGAGCACCGCCCCCTAGAGTTGGATTCGACTGGCTTTTGAGTGAGGGAAACCTTTACCTTAAGGACTCAGCCAAACTATTAGCTTGCTTGATGTCCTTTTAAGGCTCGGTAATGGGCTGCCTGGGTAGGAAGAGGCCCTCTAGGAACAGGGGGCTTATAATAATCAAAGACATCTTGAAGGGGACAGATCCAAAGGTTCCCAGTTTGAACCCAGGCTGCTTCTAATACACATTTCGTGGGGTTAGCAGGATCCAGGTGGGCAGGGGTCATTTCGTAGAAAAAGAGCTAGGGGAACTCATTAGCATAATTCATTAGCATATGCCACACCCCCTGACATCACCAGAAGTGTGTCATAAGGCCACACCCCCTGACATCACCGGAAATGTGTCATAAGGCCACACCCCCCGCCCCCAACGGCCCCAGCCGCCACTGCCGGCCTTGCAGCTCCACTGCCAAGCCCCATGAGGGGCCCGGCGCCTGCTCACAATTTTAATGCCAGTAGCTCACAAAGTAGAATTTTTGCTCACAATACTCCACAGCTTAGAGGGAACATTGCTCATAATAATCAAAGACATCTTGAAGGGGACAAATCCCAGGCTGCTTCTAATACACATTTCATGGGGTTAGCAGGATCCAGGTGGGTCCTGGAGATCTTCTGGAACTATAACTGACCTCCAGACTACACAAATCAGTTCCCCTTGAGCAAATGACTGCTTAGCATGGTGGACTCTATGGCATTAAACCCAAACCCCACTGAGGTCCCCCCCCTGCCCCAAACCCCCCCTCCTCAGGCTTCACCCCCAGATCTCCCAATCCAGTGTTGACAACCCTGTCTCTTCTGCATACTCCTTCCCACTCCCTGTTTTCTCTGGGCAAATAAGGCCTTACTTCTGTCTCCCATAGGGAAAAGTTGCTGCTTCCTGACTCCATCACCACCTGGGAGATACAGGCCGTGAGCATCTCCGCTGAGAAAGGTCAGCTGAGCATCTGTTGTCTCTACCAGTGTATGAATCTAACCCGCACATCCCCGTGATCACCTGTGTTTACAAGCGGTAGAGCCTCTGCTTGGAATGCAGAAGGTCCCAGGGATCAGGTAGGAGGTGATGTGAAAGACCTCAGCCTGAGACCCTGGAGAGCAGAGGTATCAAACTCATTTGTTACAAGGGCCAGATCTGACATAAATGTCACCTTGTTGGGCCGAGCCATGTGAGCCAGGTACCAGAGATATAAACTTTATAAAGCACACCAGCAAACCCAATTAACAATATTATTTTTTACTCAAAATACAAACAGAAGCAATTGATTCCTACCTGTGAAAGCAATTGAGTTACTGGGGAACCCACTGAACCCCCAGTAAATGTATTTAATCATATGCAAGACTAGGTTTTTCCCCAAGGGATACCGGACATTTCCGGACATACCAGTTGCTTGAGGGCTGGGTAAGAGCCCTGGATGGGCCGGTTCTGGCCCCCGGGCCTTATGTTTGACACCCCTGCTGTAGCGCCTCTGGCAGTCTGAGTAGACGATAACTGACTGTGATGGACCGAGGGTCTGATTCAGTATAAGGCAGCTTCCTGTGTGTTCATATGTTCTCCTCTTGAAGTGAGGAGTGCAGCTGGCCAGGGGGGAGGAGGGTGCCTCCTCTGTGCCTGGGAAATTATTGAACCAGAGGAGAGGCCTCTGCTCTTCCCCTCCCTCCATTCCAAGTTAATTTTTGGTCTTTGGCACAGGATCTTTTTTCTTTTCTTTTTTAACTTTAAACTTTGTTGTCAATAAGCAGATACAATAACATATTGTAACTATTACATTAATAACAACAGTAGTAAGAACAGTGAGAATACTGTTGTGCGAAAAATAAAATAGTTGGTTCAGAAAATTTAAAACCCATTTATACAGTTAATTTTATAAAGAAATCATAGTGTTTTTCTCTCCTCTATTTCTGTAACTTTCCAAGCAGCTAGCAGCACAGTGAACATGACTCCCAACATGATCTTTGCTAGGCCTTTGTCTCAAGAGCAATGCTCCCTCTAAGCTGTAGAGTCTTGTGAGCAAAAATTCTACTTTGTGAGCTATGGGCATCAAAGTTGTGAGCGAGCCATTTGGCTACTGCATAACTTAGTTTGCTCTGGAGCCATCCTTCCTGAGCCAAGACAAAAATGTGTGAGCCGGAGGCTAAAAAATTGTGAGCTAGCGCACACTAACTCAGCTTAGAGGGAACACTGCTCAAGAGATATCTTTCCTCCATCTTGTACACAGGAACCAACATTTGCATTACATTGTTCATGAATCTAAAGAATTTGGAAACATTTAGAAATAAAAGATTGGTATGCACCTGCCATTAAGTCAAGGAAGCCAGAATATTTGCAATAAAGGCTTTCCTACATGTAGAAACTCACATCACACCTCCAGCCAGCAGACAGTGCCTGACTGGCTCAAACAGTGCCTGACTGTCTGACCTGAGTCAAGGGAACAAAGAACATCCTGAAATTGTAACATTCTTGTCTTTGTCATTTAGAGATTCTTGCATTGTTTTGCAAAAGAGCATCAGGGTGCCCCATTGCCTCTGGAATGTGTGAACATCTCCTAGGCCCTGATGGCCCATATTAACAGTTTCAGTTTATGATTTCTATGGCTCTACTGAAATGTATGGGACCAATATGGTATAAAAGGAGGCCAGAAGCTTCATTTCATCACTGACTCTCAGAGATCCAGGGAAGGCATTGTCTTTTGTGATCTCTCTCAGTCCAGAAGCTTCTGTGCACGGGGAAGTCTTTGTTCCATATATTTAACCACTGACTGTCTTCTTTTTTAGAAAGTAAGTACTCTGTTTTGTATTCCTTGCTTGTCTTTAGCTAATAAACAGTTTTATTGTTTAAATAACTTTGTGTTGCATTCCAGCTAACTTTAGTTCCTTTTAACATTCTACCCCGCCCTGGTAAGGGGTACTCACCAGACCATTACGAACCTAAAGGGGGTGGGAACAGGTGCAGGTAACACTTTATACAGGGTTAGTTTAGACTGACAAGTGCTACAGTTGCATTTTTTCAAAAAAATACAAATGCCACACAAAATGTTTGGATAAAGAGAATACATCATAAAAAGAACCAACAACTTTAAATAGTATGATATGTTGTCGAAGGCTGTTGTAGATTTTTCTCCTCAGGAAACAGGAAACCTCCTCAGGAAACAATCCATATACAAAAGAACCTCCTCAGGAAAGCTCCTCCATTAGCATGTTCACAGCCTGGGGAACTCCTACAAGATAATGGCTCAGCCCTACCCCACCTTCCTGAGTAGATATAAATTACCTGCCTACCATTTGTCCTCTCACCTTGACACAGAGAGCACTCCATCTTTCGGTGTTATACCTCTGAGGAGGCTAGTCACAGCTACTGGTGAAACGTCAGGTCCTACAATGTCAAGACCACGGCCATACAGCCCGGAAAATCTACAACAGCTAACTAAATAGTATGAATAACACTTTACTAAACCATCGTTATTGTATCTAATATTGAAGCGTAATCAGCTTTGGTAGATAAGTATACCAAGAAGGGAAACCAAGTTGAAGTGAAATTGGAATCAGTAAAGTCTGAGGTCTTAGAAAAGATAGCATCTGGTCTTGACTTTGGTCCACTTCTTCCAAATGAACATGCAGACAGGCGAGTCAACATTCTATCCATCCACCCGTTCGTCCTCTTTTCTCTCTTTCGCCTCTCTTTTCGCCCACTGACGCTCATTTGGACTTGCCTTCTCAGGGATCTGCGTCTCGGAACCTCTCCGAATCACTGTCTTCCAGGAGTTCCACGTCTCTCTGAGGATGCCGTACTCGGTGAAACGCTTTGAACAGATAGAGCTGCGCCCAGTCCTGTACAACTATCTGGCAAATCCGATCACAGTAAGTGAAACTCACACGACGTGGTGCGCTTGTGGGTTGCCCTTTGCTGTTATAGGATTTTTGTAAGCTCCGTGGGGCAGAAATATTTTATTTATATATTTTTTCAGGGCTATTTTTGGGCAGGAACGCACAGGAACGGAGTTCCGGCTGGCAGGAGCATAATAGGCCACACCCAACAGCAGACACTCATTAGGATTGGCTACATTAGGCGTGTGTGGCCTAACATGCAAAGTTCCTGCTACAAAAAAAGCCCAGGGTTTTGACAACAAAGTAAACAGAATAAGAAGCAAAAGGTGGGTGTGGCTGGATGACCACACTTCCGGTAACATGTGGGGTGTGGCCTAATATGCTAATGAGCTGTACTGTTCAGGGTGTGGCCTAATATGCTAATAGGTTTCTGCTGTTGGG